ACCATGTGATGAATGCTGATGATCCTTTAATTGCTCCATCCCTTTTCCCTCCCATTGTGCTCCGTCCCCTGCGCTCTGAGAGTCGCGTTATCAGCGCGCTCTGCGTGTGTGTATGTGTGTTGAACTTCTTTCGCGCCGTACACCACGGATGACGCTGGTGCCATTATTTGCTCACACTGAGTCGCTAGTGACTCCCCTGCTGAACCCCCCCCCCCCCCCGCCGAGCTTCCCACCGACCCCCACCAACGCCACGCATCTATCCCGGGGTACGGTAACGCCATCGAGCCCCTCCACTCTTCGTGAGTAAATGGGTGGAAAGTTGTTAACTACCTCGCCTGGTATACAGGAGGTGGTGGGATAGATTGCGACCCTGCTGTATATTTGGAGTTTGCTTGTTTCTCTCCCCGTGGTCCCGTAGATTTGTCTCCAGGTCCTTCGGTTCCCCCCCCCCCCCCCCCCCCCCCCCCCCCCCCCACATTTGGAATCAACATTACGCGTTTTGAGTATTTGGCTGCTATCAATTTACACATGATAAGCCACTTCGTTGAGCTATCATTGGTTTCCAGGTCGCTTCTGAAAAAAGGAGCTATATAGCTCAGTGGGCCTTACCGGGTAAAATAAAACATTGCTTCGTTTTAGCAGATAGGTTAGTTTACAGTGCAGGAGTTCTCATATATGGGCAGTGTGCTAATAACCAGCTCACTCCAAAACAAGTTTAATCAGCTGCTTCACCATGTACGGAAGCTACCTGGTCTATTGCTCCATACTAAGCTTTGGCTCTTCTCGGCCACGGTCATGCCCCCCCCCTTCTCCATGCTTGTGAAATCTTGATGCTTTTGACCGAACACCGCCGCCGGTGTGAAACATTCGGGCTGGCCTGCCTACGATCAATTCTGGGTTTAACAAGACTATATCGTGTGTGAAGCTCACAGATCCGAGAAAGATCCAGACACGGTCCCATCAGTGACCTCTTCCGGCAGGTAAGGCTGCCTTGGCTGGTTCATGTAGCCTGCATGCCCAGCCACCGCATGCCTAAGCAGCTTCTGCTTGGCCCCATAGAGCGGGTTAAACGGGCGCGACACAGGCTATAGAAGCGATCGAGCTGATGTGGTAAAGAAGGATGTAAAGCAGATTGGACCCGCCGATTACCGGTGCCAGTGGTGTCAAAGTCAGCCTCTGTGGAGGAGGCTCGTGAAAGATGCTACAGGGCTGATTACGACGGTGATGATGACCGAGATTGTATAATTTTAAAGTGTTTTGCGTGATACTTAGAGCTGGACCCTAACCTTGCCCTCGGAGTGAAAGAGATCGAAGCTCCGAAGCCACATCAACAACACACGCTCCAGCCCTTCTAGAACCTGAAGATACAGCCAAGCTGTACTTTTTTCACCTGAAGACGATTGCTTGTGTTGCGATCGAAACGTCGTGATATTTTAAATATGTTTCTATCTACGTGGCTTTACCGAGAGACTCATACAATAAACATCACTAGAGTTGACATCAGTCACTCAAATCCCCAACCTTTATATACACCACTCCTCTACGGGGAGGGTTTGCCATGCTCGTTTGTTTCACACATAACTTCTAATTTAGCAATCTTTGGAAGAACGTAATCAATCAGGCTATGCGTTAACTGTGTGCTAACCGACTCTCTGTGTTGCATTGCATTACACTTCCTAATTTTACTAAATTTGCTTTCTAACGTGCTTGTTCCGTACTTGTTTAAAAGTCCATTCTCTCCTCTGGCCGCTATGGGCAGGAACTCCACACAACTCCCCCTCTGCCGCAACCCTCTATCTCTATTTAAGGCCTCGACACAGAGACCTTGTCTTTCTGTGTGCCTATGTGTGTGTCTCTCTCTGCTTGTGTCTCTGTGTGTCTCTCTCTGCTTGTGTGTCTGTCCGCGTGTCTCCATGTCTATGTTTTGTCTCGCTCTCAAATTTAACAATCTTTGGAAGAACGTAATCAACCGGGTTTGGCTGTTGACTGTTGTGTTGACCGACTCTCTGTGTTGTATTGTATTATATTTACAAGTTTACTATGTTTGTTTTCTCATTCATTTGTACCTGATGATGGTTGCTTGTGTTACAATCGAAACGTCGTATTCTATTATTATTTAATTTATTTTTACGTGACTTTACCGAAAGAACCAAGGAGTAACATTACTCGAGTTTACATCAGTCACTAAGATCTCCGGCCCTTCTAGAACATCACTAGACTTGATGTCAGTTGTGCTAATCTCCAGGCCTTATATAACATCACTAGAGCTGACATCAGTTACTTAGATCTCCAGCCCTTCTAGAAAATCACTAGAGTTTAAATCAGTCACTCAGATCTCCAGCCCTTCTAGAACATCACGAGAATTTACATCAATTACTCGGTTCTCTAGCCCTTGTAGAACATGATTTAACGTCACATCCGTGACTATATGAGATCTGTATGTATCCTGCGGCTCATCAACAAACAAGAGCCCCAGTTAGGGGCCGTCCATAAATGACGTCACGCGATTTTGGACGATTTTTAACCCCCCCACCGTCGTCACACGGCGTCACAAAAAGTCAGACCCCCCCCCTCAAATATGACGTCACAAAGCTCTGCCCCCCCCCCCCCCAAAAAAAAACATATTTCCATTTTGAAAAATAAACATGTTTCAAATCGCTTTAAACTATTGTCATTGTAGTGCGTATTTAATGTGGCGCTGCACTCTGATGTTGTAGGAGTGTTGTTATAACAATTAGTGTTGTTATAACAATTCTATATTTATTTAAAGTTGCGCATTTTGATGTGACGTCACATTTCTCAAACACCCCCCCCCCCGTCATTTATGGACGCCCCCCTATATAAAACGACAACATTGCCTTTCCAGATACAATAACTAAACTATTTAAATTTGACCAGATAAGTCCCACTGAGCTATACAACTCTTTTCAGAAGCAACCTGGCCACAAATAATAGCTCAACGAAGTGGCTTATCATCTGGAAGTTTCCCGCAGCCAAATTCTCTAAACAATTGTGTTTATTCATGTGGAGGGGAAAAAATAATCCCCACGAGCACGGGGAGAGAGACACGCAACCTCCAAATATACAGCAGCAGCAGGCATCAGGGCTGGGATCGAAGCCACGACTTCCTGCATACCAGGCGAGGTAGTTAACATCTCATAGCCACCGTGGCACCATCGATGGGAAGCAGCGGCGGCATCTCTCTTCGGAGGAGCAAACCTGGAAATACGCGCGCGTTTTGCTGCTACTGTCGATGTTGCTACTGCTGCTGCAGTTGCTGATGTTGCTGCTGCTGCTGTCTGCTGCTGTTGCTGCAGCTGTGGCTGCTATTGCTGCTGTTGCTGTGTGTATTCCGAGAACGATGATTGAAGTCTGGTCGGTTATCAAACATTGATGAACGTGGCGAAAGTGGCGTGCAGATGCCGGTTTGCCGGCGTGTACCCGGCTGATCGCAGATAGACAGCCGGGCGAGGCATTGTGACGAAGGGTGTAATCATATGTTGACTTCACACCAAGGTCACTTATCCTCCCGCTGTTGTTTAGGAGATGTTAACTACCTCGCCTGGTATGCACGTTCGATCCCGACCCTGACGCCTGCAGCAATATATATTTGTAGTTTGCATGATGTTGTTGTTTCAAAGGCAATGCATACATGCGCCACGGTGGCAAGGATTTTCTATCTCGCCTGGGTACACAGGAGGTCGTGGGCGCGATCCCCACCCTGACGCCTGCAGTATATTTGGAATGATAAAGTTGGGTTTTTTTTTAGGGGTTGGTTCGCGTCAATATAAATGTGTCGTGAACCCATCACCACCACCACCACCCTGTAACACAGCCAATCGGTTAGGTTTGTCGCGTAAACAAAACGAAGCACAATTACATGTTGTGGCTTTGCTCTCCAACACACAAGCGGTGCGCTGTACGCGTAACGAATTGGCACGTTCTGTTGAAGCGACACACCTTACTAATTGACTGTGTAGGGTGGTGGCGGGATCAACGACGCATATTCACGTGATCTAACCCAAAATAAAAAAAACCTGTATTATGGATGATATGGGTCGCGAAAGCCTACGTGTTAAACCGTGCACAGTTAGTGACTACTTCAGCACACCAGGTGCGTTGCAGAGCAAAAAACCACAGCATTTACAACTTGAGTACTGTGACGTTTCGCCGGTGATTGCTGCCACCAGCTTCATCAGGCGATGCTGGCGGTATTCCTGTTTCCTGTCTCTACCCCCCAGAATCCCTTCACATTTAGACCCAAGATCACGCGTCTCAGAGTTATTTGGCTACTGCTTATAAATGTCCACGTGATGATGACTGATGATGAGACACTCTCCTTGAGCGATCTTCGGTGATGGCAGGGTCGCTTCTGACCGACAATTAACACGAAATAAATAGCTACACAGCTCTGTTGGGCCTTTACCCACTGGCAAAATAAAACAAAAATATGAGTTTTAAATAGTTTAAACGCTGGAAAAGCGGAACCAAAAGCTGAAAAGTAAGCAAACAAGCGTCTGGAGGGAGGGAGGGAGGCATGGAGGGAGGGAGGGAGCCGCGTGCTAGGAATGACACCGAGAATGCAGAGGAGGCGGGGGGGGAAGGATTGAAGAACGCACGGACACCACCCCACCTCGAACACCGTTTGGAGGCGAGCGGACGCACCGCCGTGACAACCCCCGTGCGCTCTACGCCGTGGGGGGGGGGGGAGAAGGAGTGGGGGGGGGCGGGTTAACTAACCCCCCCCCCAAGGAAGGACCGCGACTCAGCGGCAGACGATGGAGCGACGGAGCGAGCGGCACGGCGGGATCGCGGGCCACCCCGAGAGACGGCGATGGCGCGGAGAGCCATTCACCACGACTGCTGATGGTGATGGTGGTGATGGTGGTGATGGTGGTGATGGTGGTGATGGTGGTGATGGTGGTGGTGGTGATAGGATCGTGGTTGAATGCCCGCGTGGTGAGAGTCGTGAGTGGTCGCGCCGCGGGTGGATTCCTCACCTCCGCTCTCCGCGCCTCCGTGGCCCCTCCCCTCCCCCGCCTCCCTCGCCTCCGCCCCCCAGGATCACCTCCAGGGAGGGGGGGGGGGGTCCCGAACCCCTTGTACTGTGGGACCCCAGTCAGGGGGTCAAGGGATCCCTACGGGCACCCCGCAGCAGCAGCAGCAGCCTCCGTGACTCCTCTCTCGTCTCTCCTCGTGTGTGCAGCGCGGGTCGACGCAGGGGGTCGCGGATTGCACCACGTGCCCCAATAGAGCGGGCTGCCCGAACCACCACCCCGGCCTCCCCCCCCACACCACACCACCAGCCCCCCCCCTCCCCCCCACCACCCCTCCACGCGTCAACCGCACCAGCAGCCGACCGCTTGGACGGCCCCACCGCCTTTCAGCGGCCGCATCATTCCGTCACCCCCCACCCCACCAATCTCCACGGCCACACCGCACGAGGCCACGAGGATGGAGAGCGCAACACCTCCGAGCACAAGGGGCGGCCGCACCGCTCCTAGACACGGCCGCACCACCGCCACCGCCTTCTCCTTCCTTCAGTGACCTCGCCACTCGGCAGTTCACCGAGTTGGCATCTCACCCCCACGTCTCTCGCTTCCTCGAGGTCTCCGTGTCTCTCTGCCACAGTGACTCTCTCTCTCTCTGTGGGTACATGTATCGGTGGTTCTGTCTATCTCTGTGTCGCTGTCTCTGCGTCCATGTCTATATCCCTACATCTCAGTGTCCCCGTGTGGCCCTGTCTCGTCTGCACGTGTCTCAGTGATTCTGTCTCTGTCCGTGTCTCTGTGTCTCCGTGTCTATGTGGCTAGGTAACGTGTCTCTGTGTCTCCGTGTCTCTGTCTCTGTCCGTGTCTCTGTGTCTCCGTGTCTATGTGGCTAGGTACCGTGTCTCTGTGTCTCCGTGTCTCTGTATCTCCGTGTCTATGTGGCTAGGTACCGTGTCTCTGTGTCTCGGTGTCTCCGCGCACGCGCGCGCCCCTCGCCTCCAGAAGCGATGAATGCGTGGAGGGATCCGCGCGAGCCTCGAGCAGCCTCGCTTGTGCGTGCGCGTGTGGGTGTGTGTGTGTCTATCACTGTGTGTGTGTCTATCACTGCCTGTGTGTGTGTCTATCACTGCCTGTGTGTGTGTCTATCACTGCCTGTGTGTGTGTCTATCACTGCCTGTGTGTGTGTCTATCACTGCCTGTGTGTGTGTCTATCACTGCCTGTGTGTGTGTCTATCACTGCCTGTGTGTGTGTCTATCACTGCCTGTGTGTGTGTCTATCACTGCCTCTGTGTGTGTCTATCACTGCCTGTGTGTGTGTCTATCACTGCCTGTGTGTGTGTCTATCACTGCCTGTGTGTGTGTCTATCACTGCCTGTGCGTGTGTCTATCACTGCCTGTGTGTGTGTCTATCACTGCCTGTGTGTGTGTCTATCACTGTGTGTGTGTCTATTACTGCCTGTGTGTGTGTCTATCACTGCCTGTGTGTGTGTCTATCACTGCCTGTGCGTGTGTCTATCACTGCCTGTGTGTGTGTGTCTATCACTGCCTGTGTGTGTGTGTCTATCACTGTGTGTATCTATTACTGCCTGTGTGTGTGTCTATCACTGCCTGTGTGTGTGTCTATCACTGCCTGTTTGTGTGCGTCTGCCACTGCCTGTGTGTGTCTGTCACTGCCTCTGTGTGTGTCTGTCACTGCCTGTGTGTGTGTGTCTGTCATTGCCTGTGTGTGTGTGTCTGTCACTGCCTGTGCGTGTGTCTATTACTGCCTGTGTGTGTGTCTATCACTGTCTGTGTGTGTGTCTATCACTGCCTGTGTGTGTCTATCACTGTGTGTGTGTCTATTACTGCCTGTGTGTGTGTCTATCACTGCCTGTGTGTGTGTGTCTATCACTGCCTGTGTGTGTGTCTATCACTGTGTGTGTGTCTATTACTGCCTGTGTGTGTGTCTATCACTGCCTGTGTGTGTCTATCACTGCCTGTTTGTGTGTGTCTGTCACTGCCTGTGTGTGTCTGTCACTGCCTCTGTGTGTGTCTGTCACTGCCTGTGTGTGTGTCTGTCACAGCCTGGGTGTGTGTCTGTTACTGCCTGTGTATGTGTCTGTCACTGCCTGTGTGTGTGTCTGTCACTGCCTGTGTGTGTCTATCATTGCCTGTGTGTGTGTCTGTCACTGCCTGTGTGTGTGTCTGTCACTCCCTGTGTGTCACTGCCTGTGTATGTGTCTATCACTGCCTGTGTGTGTGTGTCTATCACTGCCTGTCTGTATGTCTATCACTGCCTGTGTGTGTGTCTGTCACTGCCTGTGTGTGTGTTTGTCACTGCCTGTGTGTGTCTGTCTGTCACTGCCTGTGTGTCTATCACTGCCTGTGTGTGCGTGTCTATCACTGTGTGTATGTCTATCACTGCCTGTGTGTGTGTCTATCACTGCCTGTGTGTGTCTATCACTGCCTGTGTGTGTGTCTGTCACTGCCTGTGTGTGTGTGTGTGTCTATCACTGCCTGTGTGTGTGTGTCTATCACTGCCTGTGTGTGTGTCTATCACTGGGTGTATGTCTATCACTGCCTGTGTGTGTGTCTATCACTGCCTGTGTGTGTCTATCACTGCCTGTGTGTGTGTCTATCACTGCCTGTGTGTGTGTCTGTCACTGCCTGTGTGTATGTCTATCACTGCCTGTGTGTGTCTGTCACTGCCTGTGTGTGTGTCTGTCACTGCCTGTTTGTGTGTGTCTGTCACTGCCTGTGTGTCTGTCATTGCCTGTGTGTGTCTATCACTGCCTGTGTGTGTCTATCACTGCCTGTGTGTGTGTCTATCACTGTGTGTGTCTATCACTGCCTGTGTGTGTGTCTATCACTGCCTGTGTGTCTATCACTGCCTGTGTGTGTGTCTATCACTGCCTGTGTGTGTCTATCACTGCCTGTGTGTGTGTCTGTTACTGCCTGTGTGTGTGTCTATCACTACCTGTGTGTGTGTCTATCACTGCCTGTGTGTGTCTATCACTGCCTGTGTGTGTGTCTATCACTGCCTGTGTGTGTGTCTATTACTGCCTGTGCGTGTGTCTATCACTGCCTGTGCGTGTGTCTATCACTGCCTGTGTGTGTGTCTATCACTGCCTGTGTGTGTGTCTATCACTGTGTGTGTCTATTATTGCCTGTGTGTGTGTCTGTCACTGCCTGTGTGTGTGTCTGTCACTGCCTGTGTGTGTGTCTGTTACTGCCTGTGTGTGTGTCTGTCACTGCCTGTGTGTGTGTCTATCACTGTGTGTGTGTCTATCACTGCCTGTGTGTGTGTCTATCACAGCCTGTGTGTGTGTCTATCACTGTGTGTGTGTCTATTACTGCCTGTGTGTGTCTATCACTGCTTGTGTGTGTGTCTATCACTGCCTGTGTGTGTGTCTATCTGCCTGTGTGTGTGTCTATCACTGCCTGTGTGTGTGGCTATCACAGCCTGTGTGAGTGTGCGTGTGTGTCTATCACTGCCTGTGTGTGTGCGTCTCTATCACAGCCTGTGTATGTGTGCGTATGTGTGCGTCTCTATCGCATCGCAGCCTGTGTGTGTGTGCGTCTCTCTCACAGCCTGTGTGCGTGTGGGTGTGTGCGTCTCTCTCACAGCCTGTGTGTGTGCGTGTGTGAGCGTCTCTATCACTGCCTGTGTGTGTGCGCGTCTCTCTCACAGCCTGTGTGTGTGCGTGTGTGCGTCTCTATCGCAGCCTGTGTGTGTGTGCGTCTCTCTCACAGCCTGTGTGCGTGTGGGTGTGAGCGTCTCTCTCACTGCCTGTGTTAGTGTGCGTGTGTGTGCGTCTCTCTCACAGCCTGTGTGTGTGCGTGTGTGTGCGTTTTCTCTCACTGCCTGTGTTACTGTGCGTGTGTGTGCGTCTCTATCGCAGCTTGTGTGTGTGCGCGTCTCTCTCACAGTCTGTGTGTGTGTGTGCGTGTGTGAGCGTCTCTCTCACTGCCTGCGTGTGTGTGCGTGTGTGTGCGTCTCTCTCACTGCCTGTGTGAGTGTGCGTGTGTGTGCGTCTCTATCGCAGCCTGTGTGTGTGTGTGCGTCTCTCTCACAGCCTGTGTGCGTGTGTGTGCGTCTCTCTCACTGCCTGTGTGAGTGTGCGTGTGTGTGCGTCTCTATCGCAGCCTGTGTGTGTGTGTGCGTCTCTCTCACAGCCTGTGTGCGTGTGTGTGCGTCTCTCTCACTGCCTGTGTGAGTGTGCGTGTGTGTGCGTCTCTCTCACAGCCTGTGTGAGTGTGCGTGTGTGTGCGTCTCTCTCACAGCCTGTGTGTGTGCGTATGTGAGCGTCTCTCTCACAGCCTGTGTGAGTGTCCGTGTGTCTCTATCACAGCCTGTGTGAGTGTGCGTGCGTCTCTATCACAGCCTGTGTGTGTGCGTGTGTGCGTCTCTCTCAAGCCTGTGTGAGAGTGCGTGCGTGCGTGTCTCTTACAGCCTGTGTGGGTGTGCGTGTCTCTCTCTCACAGCCTGTGAGTGTGTGCGTCTCCCTCACAGCCTGTGTGAGTGTGCGTGTGTCTCTCTCACAGCCTGTGAGTGTGTGCGTCTCTCTCACAGCCTGTGTGTGTGTGCGTCTCTCTCACAGCCTGTGTGAGTGTGCGTGTGTCTCTCTCACAGCCTGAGTGTCCGTGTGTCTCTATCACAGCCTGTGTGTGTGCGTGCGTCTCTCTCACAGCCTATGTGTGTGAGCGTCTCTATCACTGCCTGTGTGAGTGTGCGCGCGAGTTTGCGTTCTCGCTCACGGCACTTGCCCCAACAGTACCATGAAGGATGTGAGGCGGAGCTTTGTCTTTGTGTGTGCAGCCACTCCACCGAGGTTGTGCGTGGAGTGGCTGGCGGCGAAGGGGGGCAGAGGTTGTCAAGTCGCAGGCGCACTGCGCTCACAAGCTGCCCCCACCTGAGTTCGACTCCCGTCACGGCCAAGATTCGTGGCGAATATCTGAACCGATTATGGGTCTCTCCTAGGTCCACTCAGCCTGAGATGATGATGCACTATGTAACACGATTTCTTTGCCTGGGTAGTTTTGTTTATAATTGCTTATGCCTCAAAAGTACAGCAAGTGGATATTATTATTCCCCCACAAACGTTGCTTTTGTGACAAGGACTTCACGTGAAGGAATTACACAAATGCACACCACGTTTTCTCATTAAAAAAATAGGTACATTTAAAAATATCAATGTTCTGGTCACAAGAGCAAAGTTTGCGGGGAATAATAGCCACTTTATGCACTTTTGAGGGATAAGCAATTAGGAAATAACATTTACTAACCAGGAACAAAAAAAACACTATATTTTGTTACACACT